AATCCAATAATAAGAACACTTGCTTTAGATCAAAAACGACATCCAAACCCACACTTCAAAATAAGTGGATAAGACTCTTTCCACAAAGCATCCAAAATAAGTAATACTTTGTACCCCAAATCATCGAAAGTATAGATAAACTCAATACCCAAAACAACACCTTTTATGACGGGGGATACCCAATTCCAACGACTATGACGAAACACAAAGTAAGCCACATGTCATTGTTATCAAGTAGTGCCTTAAGATCACGGTCCCGGTGTTTAACTCCTCTCAAGTTTCCACCCCAACACACAAGGTCCCAGAGCCCGACCCCACACGAGTCCATCTTTGCAATACTCCCGACCTTAATGCCTATTTACACACCACAAAGTTATACTTACAAGCCAATGGTCCTAAGACCCAACTCTACACGAGTTCATCCCTAAAATACCCCTGATGACTTAGTGTCATTTCTACTAGACTAAAGCCTCAAAACATGGGTCCCGATGCCCGACTCCTCATGAGTTCGTAATACCCAGGGTTCCCGAGTCCGACTTAATAAAAGATCATCTCCGCAATATCCACGATCTTAGAGTCCAACCCATACGGGCTCCTTTCCGTAGTACCCATTACGGTTCCAGAGTCCATCCCACATGGGTTCCTCTCTGCAATACCGACTACCATAATGCATACTTGGGCATTGGCCTCAGAGGGAGAACATCAAAACTTCTTACTTATCAACATCACTGGCTCACATGCCTATTGATCCATTGCATAACCAGTCTATACATGACAACGATTATATGTTTACACATATAATGGAACTTTGTGGAGCATACATGACAATTGTTTTCCGATTTTTAAACATATTTAGCATGCTTAAGCTTTTAGCTGGTTTAAATTGTATAAGTGGTATACAGTGAGGAGTATGATATATCAGTTGGGTTTGTCACACTTAAGGGGAGGCACGACCCCAGAATGGGTTAAGGCTCTGTGTGAGCCGTGCACACCAGATAGTTGAGTCGTGCACACCCAGGGAATGCTTGAAACTTACCTGTCCCTACTTGATGAGACAGTTATGAGATCTCTTCTCTTTTAAGTGTCAAAGTTACTTCATACGAAAGTTTTATGACAATTTTCAATGGATAGACATTGACCAATAAGTCATATAACAAGTGACACGACCCCGTAATGGTTGCCTAGATAGGTGTAGGTCGGACAACCTAGTGAATGACAGTGACAAAATGATCCATAACCGACCAAGCAGTTTATGCAGTGTTGTTTGTTTTCAGAATATGCATACTATTTTTTAAGTTGATATGTATGATGTGGTATGATTTTATTTACGCAAACTCAATGAGTTTTATAAATTGACTATAATATGCATCTCAGGACCCAGAACTTTAAGGTTGAATAAAGGAAAAGGGCACGATTAAGGGACTTGCCTACTTATTTAAGTGCAATATTTATTATCAGACATCTATGATGGATAAATTTTGTAACGCAATCCGCAATCCGGTATGGGAAGGGTTAGAATTTAAGTATATATTTATTGTTTTAAAGTCTTCCACAGTAATCAGTCTAAAATTTTAATTTAGCCATAACTTTGGAGTATTTTTGGAGGAATTGTTTTGGATGAGGTGACATTTCTCATAGTAAAAATGAGGGTGTTACAATATAGAGTTTCTTAACTATTCTGACTACGTAATCATTCTGCACCAAGTGATTATGAACATGCCAAAAAAAAAACCCTTAAATTTCTTCAATTTCCGCTTGAAGAGCTTCAAAAAACAAGTCCATAGACTCCAAAATCACCCAAATCAGATAAGGGATGAATATGATAGAGCAAAATGAAGAAAACCCCCAATAAATCGGATTATGAACNNAAACAAAATGGGAAAAAATGGGTTTTAGGTAATAAAAAAACGGGTTTTAAGGGTCTAAGGTAGCGTCGGGCGACCTTGCCCGCGACCTCAAGTCGTGCATGTCCACCACCCCTCAAATAGAGTCAGCCGCGAGCCAAGTCACCAAGACCCCCCCCTTGAGCCACGTTCCCACACAATGTCATGCCACCCCAGGTGTTGATCGTTCTTCGATCGTTTTCCCTATTCGTTCTCCAACCGTTTTCCTCGCCTTCCTCCGACTGTTTCCTGGCCGTTCTCCGACCATTTTCCCAGCCGGTCTTCAACCGTTTTAAAATTATGGGTGTTACATTAGAGATAATAATAATCAATAACCTTAGACATTGATGCCAAATAAAAAACTTAGAGAAACATTAAATAATAGTATAATACGAATAAATGACCATTTAATTTTTTTTCCAGATTTCTTATCTGATATAATTAGTTAATACATTTTTGAACCATTGTTATCTATTAAACTCTTTTTGGGCTCTTATGATATACTAGTTTTTTTTCACTCTGTTTATATACTATTTTTTTGTACTCTAATGTACACTAAAAACATTTAGGGCCCCTACTTTCTTAGGTTCTAGGAAGGTGTCCGCAACACTTTTCAAGTAGTTTTAGAGTGAATACTGTGAGAATATGGAGCCCCTAGATATATTCCCCAAAAGAGCCCTTAAAGACAGATGAGAGGTTCCAACATATGTAGAAGGATGTGATTCAAGTCACTGATGTGATACTCTAACACACACCCCCAACGGAGGCCAGGCGAGTAAAGATGTCCAAAGCGTTAAGGAGGGGTTAGGTGGACAAAGATGTCCCACCATGTTGAGTCACTCGCAAATAGTAGTCCTTGACCCTAATACCATATGGGAATATGTGGAACTCTTAGGGGTTGTTCGGTTGCAACTTAATAGGTTGTATAGGCCATATGGCTTATTCGCACAACCATATCTAACTGTCCGGTATAGGCTTATTCGGTCAGCCCATGGCTGAATCGCTCAGCTACAAAAATAGAGTCATATCCATTCGGCCATTTATTGATCCATTTATTACCTTTTTACCCTTCCCCTTATTTCATTTTCTTCTCCCTTTATATGAAATCTGGACTTAGGGGCTGTGAATATTACGTCGCCCGTCTCTCCCACCGCATTCACCTCAAGGGTTGGACCCCACTCTGGTGCCCCACCGTCGCCGTCGAAAGTGTTATGTCCGATGCCATTGGTGGTGGGGTTGGAAGAACCACGAGTCGTCCCTGATTTCTTACGGGATTTGGTTTCAAAGGGATGGGTGGCGGTGAGGGTGAACGCCTACGAGACACAGTGGATGGGAACGGTGTGTGCGGCGGCGCTGTTGAGAAAAGATGGTTCGCCGGTGATGGATGTGATTGTGTTTACAAGAACAGGGGAAGTGGAAGGGATGTTGAAGAGTTTGAGAGTGATGGGTTTGGATTGGGAAACTATGAGGAGGGAGAAAGCTGAGATTCCTGATCGTGAGGTGAAGGCGAGGGCAGAGAATTGATCGAGGAGGGGGTTTGGAGGTGAGAGGTAATGGAGAAGAGATGATTTGGTTTGGGTGGTGGGTTCGACGACGATGGTGGGGCACTGGAGTGGGGTCCAACCCTTGAGGTGAATGAGGTCAATTTATTGTGATTATATCATTAAATTTATATATCATCTTATATCAAATTGGTTTTATTTAAAAAAAACTTTGAATTGATATTTTTTAACCATTCAAAATCAAATATTCAACATTTTTATCAAACAAATGTTTTAATAGTGTTTAATATAGATTGGGGATAAAATGGTCAATTTTGACATTCAGACTGTTTATTCAGCACAACCACCGAACAACAATTTATCTGTTAATATACAAACAACTATATCAATACAGATAGCTATATCCATACATGTCTTAACAGCAAACGAACCGAACAACCCCTTAGATAACTCTCCAAAAGAACCCTTAAAAAGAGAAAAAAAAAAGAGATTCCAACATATATAGAGGATATATGGTTCAAATATTGTCGATGTGAGACTCTAACAATTACAAATGACGCACTACCACATATTTATACTACTTTATGAATCTGTGTAGAGAACTCTATTTAGATAATTACAAGAAAACCTATAGCTAAACAAGGTTCTTCTCCAAAGTTTCACGACACTCTTGATTGATCTGGTTTCCCGAGGAACCTTTGTGTGAGACATGACATATTGTACTTTTTACATAGAGTTTTGTAGATAAATCCATAAAACAGTATAAATAGGTGACAATCTTATCACTCCGCAATTCCTAAAGTAGTTGAGTAATATAAGTATAGAATTATTTCCATTTTTTTGCATTCTTGTTTGCTTATTCTGTTAAAACATTTTTGTAGTTTGATTGTCTTAGTTCAAAAACGAAACCCACAAACAAGATTGTGAAAACAACTCAGTGATATGCCAATAGTTCTGTATGTATAAAGTTGTTTGTTTGAATTAATATGTCTGTATAGACTGGAAAAATTTTCATTTTAAAGTGTTTTTCCATAGATGAAATGAGCGTGTTCTTTAATTGGGAGTGACAAGTTTAGAAAAAAACTTGACTTTCTGCATATACGTAAGCGACATTCTATGTTATTATACCACTACGTATAACTAGAGATGGGACTGGTGGAGGACGGAGACCGATTGGACCGGTTTGGACTCGGACCGGGACCGATTCTGAGGACCGGTTACAAAGTATATTACCAGGCCTTGTGCTTTTGCTCGAGATTGGCTGGGACCGGTTACAAGAATAGTTTTTGAGATTGAGACCGATTTGGGTTCGGTCCAGCTCAGGACTAATTTTTGATCACCCCAAGGGGTGTTTGGGATTGCTTATTTGAAACGACTTATGTTTTTCTACAAAAATACTTATCAACTTATTATAAGTCAGAGAAGTTTAACTTCTTTAAAATCTTCTTTTTACCGGTTTAATAATGGTATAAATTATTTATCCAACCACTCAAAAAATGCTTTTTATCGATAAAACATCAAAATAAGTCAATAAATTATTTTTTTTTAGCAATCTGATCGAATAAGCAGGGATTTGGATTTACTAACAAAATAAAGTCTTGTAAATGAAGTAGCCGGGCCATGTGCGGATCTCTCTCTTAACAAAATGTGGTTGTTGCTCTCCTGATTCTTCCTGAATTACTGATTGTACACTCAAATCTCCAATCCAGTTTTCCAATACTTCATTTCATCCCTACTGTTTGTTTCCACTAGTGTTTCCATTCATTTCATTAACAATGGGGTCTGCGCCTATTCCCTCTGAGACCTACAAGCTAGGGTTCATCGGAGCTGGTAAAATGGCCGAGAGTATAGCCAGGGGGGTTATTAAATCTGGCATCCTCCCTGCTTCTCGTATCAAAACTGCTCACAAAGGCTCTCGCCGCACCACTTTCGAATCCTTTGGTGTCGGTGTTGTTGAACATAATAATCAGGTATAATGATTGTTTGCATCCCTACTAGTGATAGGATATGCTATTCAGATCATGTAATAACTTCAGAATTGAAAGCTTTCGTACTGGCGAGTTTTACGAATTTTTTGAACTTTTACGTAAATTCCCTTTTGTGTATGTAAATTAGAAATAAAAAATTGCCAAAAATAAAGTGATCAGCAAATTAGTCCTGATGTATCTTGTTATGCTTTAATCGGTTACCATTCTACCTCGTAGCTCCTTGAATTGCGCAAATTCATAGAAATGTCCACTAAAATGGTAGAGCCGTGTAGGTATAGGCAATGGCTGCAATAGTCTTTGTCAAGTATATGCTATATATTTTGGTCCTTTTAAAGGTATGACAGGCTTCGATGCAAGTTTTGGTGTCTTGTTAGAAAAGTAATGACTGATGTTGCTTGATATTCGTTATGCTATGTTATTTCAGTTGTACTCATGCAGATTTTGAGATGGTTTCCTTTTTTATTCTTTGCTTTTGTAGTTGGTTGTTTGCCCTGCTACCCCATTTACCTCTATATTCGAGGTCTTTTCCTCTTTCTGGGTTGTGACTACCATTTTCTCCTGTATTTAGTGGAGATGCTATGGTAACATGAGAGCAAAAGTTGTAGAAGAAAATATGGTAAAAAATGGAAAACTATTGGGGAAGAGAGAAATTGTAGAGTAGGAGACTTCATAGTAGAAGAAACTATTTCATCACCGAAGTTCATGAAAAATGTGGTATATAGTTTCGAATTATGCAGCAACCAACACGCCTTTGAGTCTATAAAATTGTGGCTAGGATGATTGGAAGTTGGAGCTATCATAGTTGACAAAAGTTCACAATTCATGGTCCAAATGCTGCGAACAACATCAGGGAATTGGAATTCAATCTGCATTTTATTTCTGAATCAACTTGTATTATATGATCCTATAAATATTTTCATCAAAGCTATACTCTTTGGGTTGTTGTGGATTTGTGTAGAGCTTATTGAATTGAACCTTATTTCTAGCCATATAAATAGAAATGTATTTTGTAATATGTCCAAGTATAATTTGGTTTATACATCGCTAGAATGCTGAAATCTTTTTATATCTGCACAATATATGGTTTTAGAAAATGTTGAAAGGAAACTATATATGATGTGCTTAACGATTTGTGATTCATAAAATCTATATAGCCATTATTGATTTGGTTACAAATCGACAACTATGGGAATTATAGTTGTTGAAATATGTGAGGACGACTATACTCCTAAATCTGGTTCCTAATATAGTTGGAAGGATAAATCAGGAACAAATACACAGTGTCTGCAAGAACAAGTACAGTGTCTGCTCATGCAGGGGGAAGCCTAATCTGAGCCCCTTGATCTTTTTGGCAGGGTTGTGGGGGGGGGAGGGGGGAGGGGGTGTAGCCGAAATGTGTAGAGTCCACACTGTTTGTGCACCTTCAGTGGAAACCATTTACCTAATCAATTACTACAGTTCATTCTTATTTTCTATGTTCCCCTTGAATTTATTTTTATTGCATGAATTAATTGTGCTTATGATGCTGTTTTTACTTCCAATGAAGGAAACGAAGCAAACCTACTTATCTGTCTTCTGTTTCTTATCAGTTTGTACCTTTGAGTGTTTATTGATTCTGTGTTCTCTACTGGCATCCCTCCCATTCAGGTTGTTGAAAACAGTGATGTGGTGATATTCTCTGTCAAGCCACAAGTTGGTATTTTCTTATTTCTCATGCCATTTTGACTCTTTTTCTTTCTTTCTTGTAATACTAACGCTAATCAATATTGCATATGGCCAAGTACCTCATATCTGTCTATCAGTCAGCTAGATGAGAATTCAATCAGCATTATCTTTTACTTTATTTTTATCTTCCATCTTCTGGTGTACTTCTCTGACTTGCAATTTTCTATATTACTTCTCTCTGTGAAATCTGGTGAAGTTTTGGTAAACATTAATAATAAAGAATAAAGTATATTAGCTTGACTCGCTTAAGTTGTTTTTATGTCTCAAGTCTAAGCATTATTCGTCTTTATAGCAGATAAAAACAAGTTCATCAGTTTCATCTTTATATTTTTTTTTTGTCTTTGCTGAAGGTAACACCAGACTTATATTTGGATTTTCGTAGAAGAACAAATGGTTTCCGGTATCTAATCAATAACATGGAGAATATATTTGAGTGGATAACATATACATAAATGTGTAGGAACAACATAATACATCAAAGAATACTTGGTCAAAATTGAATTTGGAAGGATCCTGTAGGCATTAGCAACCTCAACCAAATTAGTTTGGTGCCGGTATTGGTCCATAATTTCATGAATTTGTGTCATTGGAGTTATTTTACAGCATCCGAATAACCATGTATGAAAATTGAGAAGAGCAAGCAAGCTTTTATGATTAGATGAGAAACCTACTTCTGGAATTTGTTGTAATGTACAACCTGGTCCAGCCAGGTATATAACCAAGTCCGATTATGTTTACAACTATTACACATGGTCTAACAACTACTACTCATAATTGAAGAAACAGCATATTAGACATTTGGGCAAGGACACAAAGATATGTATGTCTTGATTTCTACATGTTCTGTTAAATGTAGATGCTGGTCCATTCATCACATGCATCAAGTTAGTGAAGCTATTTTTGCAACTATAGCACAACTTTCAGAGCATAGCACAATTTTTAAGAAAATGAGTGGCGAGTTGCAGCCTGCAATCCAAACTGAGGACGGAGAATAAGGTCTTCTAAGAGTTATAAATGGGAAAGCTTTCTTCCAAACATTTGTTGGTTCTGATCGAGTTTGTTATGTTGAAACTATTAGGCCATAGATGATGGTGGAGCCAGGATTTTATATAAGTGGTGGTGGAAACACACTAGATTGTAAGTACATTACTCTTTACCTTCTATATTTTGGGTCCTATGTCCAAGATAATAGAATAAGTTGGTTCCTAGCAACCAATCAACCTTAATAATAATAACTAATAAGATTCTTCTCCAAATGAACACATTTAGACGTTAATACAAGAGTAAACTACATTTTCCGTCCTTGAGGTTTGTTATAATTGCTACTTTCGTCTCTGTGGTTTTGAAATCACGTTTTTTTTACTGGTTTGCAATTTGTTTCGCTTTTCGTCCCTCTGGCTAACACTGTTAAAAGAGTCCGTTAAATCAGGGGTAATTTGGTCTTTTTATTCTTTTTTGTATTTCCTTAATTTTTTCTATTAGATAAGTTTCAATATTATGTTATTATGTATGTTATATTATATATAATAAAGCCCCCACTCCAACACTCCTACCGCACCCCACTTCTTCCCCATGAATGATTTAAGCAATCCAACCCATTCTTCTCATCATGTATCCATTGGAGCTCTGCATGGATTCAAGTTCAAAAACAACAAAATGCACACACACACACACATATACGTATACGCTTGCTCGGATTCAAGATTTACACCAACAATAATGATAAAGGGGATATGAGGATTATAATGATTTGAGACTTAAATTTATATTCAAAAATCCCGAACAATCTTATATAAAGAAACATCTCGACATTCCAAAAAAATGAAGAACAATCAATAAAAAAACCAAACTTTCAGCCTTGAAACTTACACAAATCGACCCCTTTTTTCTGTCCTGCGGCTGTGCTCGATTCTCTATCATAGTGACAAAAAATGCAGTTTACTTTTAATACAATTAAAGAAGGAACACATATGGTAACTAAAGGATAAAATTTTACTTTATACATTAACTGTAGGCCAGTGGCTAACTAACTTGTATCATAGTGACACAACATTGAAATTTAGACAAATTGCAATTTATTGTATGGGCTGCATCTCACGGGCATATTGGTGGAAATACAACCAGAAGTGCATACATCGTAAAAGTATAATCTGAATAACCGTTGAGCAAAAGTTATCATCAACCCAATACCTGTTTAAATTATAGCTGGATGCACTTGGTTAAAAACTTATCAACCTCAATCTCTATTGAACAAATTGGAGCTTAACAGCCTCTTGTTTTAGATGATCAGGATCGAATGCGATAATGCCATTGCCACCAATATAGATACAAACAGGAATGTGGTATCTTCCTCCCCCATTCAAATATAGATGGAAAGCTGATATGAACAATGATAATTCTATTATAATATGGTTCAAACAGGAATGTGGTATCTTCCTCCCCCCGCTCCCCCCAACTCTAGTTTAGACGAAAGCAGAGAGCTCAACAATGAAATTTGCTATTATATAATATAGTTCAAGAGGGTGCATAGACAGTTGCTTCAGGGATGGGAAAGCTTTTTTTTTCGACCGACAATGATACTTGTTTTCTCTTGTGGTGGCTCCTCTCTCCCTTTCTTCCAACAGATTATAATATCCGTATTCCGTTAACTCGTATAAATTAGGTTAAATGAACTCTTGGTAGGATTGTGCATAACATATTTGTACCCTATGCTTAACCAATTTGTACCTTGGACTAGTTTTGTGACAAAAGTTGAGTTTATATCTAGTAGGACATAAAGTTGAGAATCTAGACTTGAACGGTTAAAACCGCCAAATGATTAAACTTTATATATGTGGCATATATCACAATTCAGGGGGGGAGGGTTGGTATAATTTCACACATATACGGCTTACATGAATTCAGCAGTACACGCTTGGACCAACGCCTGTATTAATGTAAAAGCTCAGCTACTACCTTCAATGAACTTTATTTAGCATTGAGATCTCAGTGAATCTCTAAAGGATGTAAAGGAAATGATTTTTTTCTAATGTCGTTTTTTTGGAATAGCACGGAGCTCACCAACTTTTTCTTTTTGTTATAAATTAAAATTTTATTATATTTTATGTTTGTTCCTGCAGTTAAAGATGCGATCTTGCAGCTGAGACCAATCTTATCTGAGAAAAAGCTTCTGGTATCAGTAGTTGCTGGTGTCAAACTAAAAGACCTCCAGGTTTGACTAAAACCAAATTTACTTTCGTTTTGTACCATTACTGAAATTATGATCATATATTTGCTGATAATATGTTTACTAACTATTTGATTCTTCAAGAATAAGGATCTTATTTTTTTTTTCATCCACATAACTTGCCTTGTAGTCCAGTACATCAGTACTCCAATTGTATGATTAACATCTCAATAAGGCAAAACATGAGATTTATTGGCCTTATTTTATATGAATCTGCTTAAGATTTCTCAAGCGCAACTGACTACAATTTCTTGCGTGTGCCTGAGGGCTATTTACCGGGGGACTGTTAAAAAAAACCTAAGTTGGCTAGATTTTGGGAGTGGATTTTGGTTGAAGGTACTATATTGACACATGCCAATGATTTCAAATTTAAGGATTTACGTATTGTAGTTAACAAGGAGTAAGAAGGCATCTGATTTGATAGGTTTATGACATGATGTGTTATTATTTGATCCAGGAGTGGGCTGGTCATGATCGTTTCATCAGGGTAATGCCAAATACCCCTGCTGCTGTAGGTGAAGGAGCTTCTGGTATCAGCTTTTTGATCTTTGCCTTTCATGTTTTACTATTCTAATTGATATTGATCTTGTCACTTGATAGATTTATGTGATCTACAAATGGATTTTTGTTTGTTCTGTCAAACATAAACGTAACTAACGAGATTCACAATACTTTTTTTCTATTCAGTTTACCAACCTATTTATAGCTCAGCATCTTTCTTGTCTTGTATAAGATGATCTTGCCAGAACTAACCACTAGTATTATTGACATACTGTTCTTAATTTATATGAAGTTGCATTCTTGTTTTTAACATTTCAAATTTCTTGATTTTAGACTTTTAGTCAAGTGCCACCATATGTCCATAACCTGAAGAAAAACATAAATAAATATGTTGAAATATTTCTAATATATATAGGGGTATTATTAATAATGCAGTTATGAGCTTGGGGGCAGGTGCAACACAAGAAGATGGTGAAATAATTGCCAAGTTGTTTGGAGCAGTGGGTAAGATATGGAAAGCTGATGAGAAACTCTTTGATGCAGTCACCGGGTTGAGGTATTTACTATTATGTCTCTTTACCCCTTGCCAAATCCCCATATTTTAACTCGAGCGTTTGTTTATTACAGTGGCAGTGGGCCAGCATATATATTTTTGGCAATAGAAGCTTTGGCTGATGGAGCTGTAGCCGCAGGTCTACCACGGGAACTTGCACTTGGTTTAGCCTCGCAAACTGTAAGTTTGGTACTTTGGTTACTGTTAAATGGATGGGGTTCATATATATATGTATATAAACCATGATTGTTGTTTCATGATGATGATCAGGTTCTTGGAGCAGCGTCTATGGCTAGCCATGCTGGGAAGCACCCAGGTCAGCTTAAAGACGATGTTACTTCGCCTGGTGGGACCACCATTGCTGGGGTTCATGAGCTTGAGAAGTCTGGATTTCGTGGGATATTAATGAATGCAGTTGTTGCTGCTGCAAAGCGTAGCCGCGAGCTTTCCCAGAATAATTAGTTGGTCTAGAATCAAGAGTTGATTTGAATGTTGACTAGTCTCTATTTGGAGCAGGCACTTGAATTAATAATTTTTATTTACCTCACGGTTGGATAGATAAATGTTTGGATTTTTGCGATTATTTTTTAACAGGAATTGCTGAATCATTGGCTTATCAAATTATCTATCGAGCCGTGAGACAAACAAATCCACTTTTATGAGTAAGTGCAGTTGCTAAATGGTTTGGTGTATAATGATTTGGGGCTGTTTACTAACTGCTGACTCGGTCAGCAGTCGGTGTGTTTACCAAATCACGGGTTTGACCGCGATCTGACCGAAATGTTGACCGAGATCTTACCCGGCCAGCATCTATTTCATGCTTACCCGAGTCAGATTCTACATTTCCATACTTTACCCATTGTTCTCGATTAGGTTTCACCGCTGCTCCCTCATCTCCCCTCGTCGGTCCGGCTCTCCTCATCATCCATCGTCGCTCTTGGCACTCCTCCTTTCTCCCTCGTCGCTCAAGTATTTCCTCCCTCGGCTGCTCGAAAGGTAAAATCTGCATAACTTTTGACAGATTAGCTTTGTATAATATTTGTTGGGTATGTCTGTTTTCTGTCTTTACATAATATACTTGAACGATTTATGTTTTGCTACATCCACTTCCTTCGAAGTATATACCCTAAAAAATGATCTGGTAGACCTTTTTTCTAGTGGTGATTTCATTGGAGAAATTTGTGTATATAGCCTAAAAAACGATCCTTTGCTTCTAATGATCAATAACACAAATCATAATCTTCTTCCCTTCAAAAACCCAGATCAAAAAGGGCATACAGTAAACAGCCCCTTACACCAAACGTCCAAACCATGTTTTACACTATAAATACAAAGAACGATATGAAGGTAGCAACAGAAGGGCCTTTGATGTGATTCTGATATGTTTACACCAAATTTGTGTATATTGTACATGCATGCTTTACTTTGATGTGATTCTGATATGTTTCCCTTTATATGTGTATCCTTTCTTAAATTAGCTCATGTATATCTGTAACTCCCTGCATATTGAAATGGAATACCTGAAGGATATGGCTTATAGAAGTCTGAATACTAGTCCAAGATTACAAAATAGCAGAAAACCTATGATAAACCATCTCTAGTTCTCTACTAGATGAATCTTGGACTTTTGTGTAGGATATGACTTCTGTAAAACACTCTGCAGGATTCCACAAACAAATATGTACAAGTATCATGTACAGAAAGTTTGTTTATGTTCGTTTATTTAATAAATGAACGGACATGAACAAATTTTTCTGTTCGTTTAGTTAAACGAACGAACATGAACAAGAGTCCCGATCGTTCATTTATGTTCGTGAACGTTCGTTCATTTACCGTTCATTTATATTCGTTCGTTTATATATTAAATTTAATATATAATCTTTTGTTTAGTTACTTGAATTCAAATAATATTTATTTATGTTCGTCCGTTTACGTTCGTTTAGCATGTTAACGAACGAACATAAACGAATACGAACACACCTGATTTCTAAACGAACGAACACAAACACAAAGATTTTCGTTCGTTTACCGTTTGTGTTCGTTTATTTGTTCGGTTAAGTTAAACGAACGAACATGAACAAGCCTTCGTTCGTATTTGTTCGGTTCGTTTACAGCCCTATATATATCCAACTTCATGCATCTAAAAACCCTTTGCATCATATCTTCTTTCTATGCTCCCTTTTCAAGACTTTGATCATATTTAGGTTCAAAAATGAGGATATTTCCAACTGATCTCATTATATACAATTCACTTGAAGTGGGATTATTAGAGGATATAAGAAGAGATAATGACATGCTAATGAATGAACCTTCTAGTACATTCCTTTTCCAAATATTACTTGCTGTCCAGCACCCTTATCTCGACTTCGATGCTAATTTCGACTTAGATGTAGCTTGTATTTTCTAAAACTCAAAACATGAAAGTTGTAAGCCGGTCTGTTGGCTTTCCAAAACATCTTGAATCGCCTTAAAAAAAGCTCGGATGAGCACAACCTTGCAAATCTGTCAAATATTCCTTTTTTGTTCTTTCACTTGTTGTGCACAACTTGTTTTACATAATTGTTGTCATCTTTCCCTTGTGTGTACAACTTGTTCTAGGAAGGGCATATCGACTTCATTTTTATCATTATTATTCTTTACCTTGGGAGGTCTAATTTTTTATTCCATGTGATCATTTTTTGTTGGATTTTGATTAGCACCTATTTGATGGAATTTATTTCAGTGATCTCTATAGTTTATGGTGTTTCTTTATCATTTCTTGACGTGGGTACTTTAAAATTCTAGTTATTATCGTCATTATTTCTTGCTTTTTTGTATGTGTTTTTGTTTTTGTACATTTTGTTAATGAAAACATGATGGATAATGAAGACCTTGAAATTTTTGGGTCTTTTTGACATATGTATGGAATCATATGATGGATCATCTGAACCCAAAAAATCGAAGGTTAGTTAGAAAGAGAATAGTAAAAGCCTTCTTAGAGTGTTGTCTACAAGAGATGTCTATGAATGGAATCCAAGACGGTAGCCTTAAGATGCACTCGTGGAGCAATATAGCATAAATATTAAAAAGGACTCACAACTTCATTGTCAATCAAAGACAAATGAAGAATCATTATTATTATTTGTGAGGGAAATACGTTGTATGGTCTAGACTAAGGAATAAAACGGGTAATGTCTATAACCCAACAAACAACACCTTCAATCTATCTGAGTGGAAGGCAGAGACAAAGGTCAATTCTTTTTCTGGTTTTCTAATTTAATTTTTTTTTTCTTTTAGTTATATGTTTTTACTTTTTTTTTTATAAACAGTTGAGTAAATATGCCGACAATTTGAGGAATGCACCAATACTTTATCTTAATCTTTGTATGTAATTTTTTGATGGAGTGGCGGCCACAGGTATGAGGACTTGGGGACCTTGGTCTAATTCTCATAACTCTTTGTGTGTTGCTAATGTTCCTAACCCACCTTTAATTGTTGATGATCAAGGCTTGGATACCACATAAGCACCTCCTATTTCAGATCAAGCACCTCTTATTTCAACTCAAGGACCATCTAGCTCGACACAAGAATGTTCCTCTCGTTCTCAAACCAGAAAACGAAAAGTTAATCAACCATTGGTAAGGGAAGATGAGTTGGCTCATGTTATAACACATGTGAAAACCATTTTTGACAAACCATCGGAGGACGAGGATATGGATGCTTGTATGTCAAAATTGGGGAAACTTGGTTGGGAAGATAGCCTGTGGTATGACATCACACTTTTTCTTTTTAGCCAAAACATAGATTATAGGAGAATTTGGATACGTTTAAAGGATGAGATGTGTGAGTCATGGCTTACTTTACGGCACGTTAACTTAACTTAAAATAAGCAAATGATGTTTGATATTGATGCGGTATTTAGACCGACGTGGTACGGACGGGTATGAAACTTCATCACTTTTTTATGTTTTGTATGAACGAGTATGAACCTTTATCATTTTTTGGTGTTTTGTATGGACGAGTTTTGGAACTTTAATATGTTCAGTTTGATACTATGTCACTCTTTAGTGTTGATTGTTTAACTTGATGTTTTTGTTGTTTAAAGTGTATGTTAAAGATCTATGTCATGTATGAAACATAATACGATGTTTTTTTGCATTTCATATTTGCAAGGTTATATGGATCGTAATCAATTAATGATGATTGTGGTGATTGCATATTGGTATTTGAGAAGAAGAGTTGAAGCAAGAATAGAAATGAGAGAAAGAATAAGAGATAACAATTCAAATTTGACCAGACATGCGTATACACAAGAATTAAAAATAGTGTTATAATGGTCATTTTATTGTTGGTAAGCGCTTACTTAAATTATTTGGTAAACACTCTTACCCGGGACAACACTTACCGAGACAACACTTAATCGGGTCAGTACTCTTACCCGGACAGCACTTACCCGGCAAGAGTTGGTAAACGGCCCCTAAATGGTTCATTTATCACTGAGCGGTCATTTAGGAGCCTTAGCTGGTGGATCTTCTATAATTTCGCACGTGAGGGGTTATTTCTTGGTTTCATCCAGTCATTAATAACTTGATTATTTTTAGATTAAAAAGCTCTCATGATATAGTGCAAAATGAAATATAATTGTTCATTAATTGTTTACAATGGAATTAGGGCGTAGAATGGTTAAGGGAAGCCTAGGAAACAAAATCATTCAGAGGTTTTTAGAACCATTAAGAGGCCGACTTTTTTTTTTTACCAAACAAGATTCACCTCTTAACGAACAACCCCTAACTTCGGATGCATTAAAAGCAAGAGTTGTTGTTTCTATAATAGCTATTGTATTAGTTGAC